TAAACTTGCCAGCTGGGGTGGTCGGTGGAGAAGAGCGTAGGAAGGAGTTTATGCTGATGGAGACCTGCAGGGACTACCTCACTGCACATAGCCATCCGCTTGGAACCACGGGCTGGGGCCAAAGGCTGTGCCTACGATGAGAGGAACAGACCCGGTTCCCGAGAGCTCCCTGCCTCACGCCATTAGCAGTTAATGTTCTAAAACAACTGTTCCTCGAAAATTCTTCTTTCAGGTTTCCCTTGCTGACACCTCTGCGATCTCTTAACTGCCTGGTGTGACTATAGTGTTTTGTGCTTGGAACATTCTAGATGTCTGAAGATCCCTTCCAGTTTTGTGACTTTATGATTCTTTGAATAATTCAAACAATCCAATAAGAAATACATCATGGTTGATTGACCTCAGATAAAAAGACACATGACTCCAAGTACTTAATCTAAAACCACTTGTGCTACTGTGGAGACAACCCAGGCAGTTAAAGGTTCCAGTAACATCATTTCTTTGGAGAAACTGAGAGCATGTGATTGGTTCTATCCTACCAAATAAAGGACAGCCACGTGCATGGTATGTGCGGGTTTGCCACTTTCCCAGCATAATCCTGTTAGGCACTACTTGCCAGAGCTTCTGTATGTTGAAGTAACAGAGCAAAAAATATATATAAAGTGCAATTCCAGTGGGGTAAAACAAGAACTATGAGAGTTAACCCAGACAGGAGAAAAGCCAAGTGCTGGCACCAGCTTCCACTCCTAATGAATGAAGCCTCTATTCCATAAAAATGCTTGGAAGGCACCCCGACACCAACACATATCTACGAGTTACAAAAATGGTGGAGATAATGTAATACTCAAGAATTCACAGTATTATAAACACACACAGTTGGCGTGCTAAGCGCTTCTCACCAAGTTCAAGCACCTACACAGATGAGGAGAAAGGAAAAGGCAGGGCAACGGATACCTTGACATATCTGTGGTTACTGATCGCAACTCCCGTCACCAACGAGGTGTCCAGTGGTTTCAACCTCTGAGTGGCCCTGTGGGCTGGGATACAGACAGGCTGGGAGGCAGATGGCTGGACTGAAGTGCAGAGTCACAGACCAGAGGGACCACGGTGTCACATGTGGTCCAAAGGAGACAATCAGCTTTCCCAGTGGGGTCTGAGCTCATCGAGACCCAACTCAGATCCACATCAGTTCTGCCGTGCGCCTGATCCACCGTCTCCCTATCGCTGTGCTTGCCTCTCTATACACAGGCCAGGCTCCAAAGTTCAGGAAGGGGAAACACAGTGATTCTTTCCTACAACTCATTTCCAGCACACAGGCCTTTATTACGTACAACTTAGTTAAGTGGCTCCAGGTTCTAGTAGTAAACTACAAAATAGATATGAGTTTTTTTGGTTTTTTTGCGGTACGCGGGCCTCTCACTGCTGTGACCTCTCCTGTCGCGGAGCACAGGCTCCGGACTCATAGGCTCAGCGGCCATGGCTCACGGGCCCCGCCGCTTCGCGGCATGTGGGATCCTCCCGGACCGGGGCACGAACCTGTGTCCCCTGCATCGGCAGGCGGACTCTCAACCACTGTGCCACCAGGGAAGCCTGATATTTGAGTATTTTAAATTCCCTTTTTAAAGCTCTCTCACAGAGCAGTCATGCAGAAGAGACTCAAGTTAGTTATAATGGCTTTGACTGATGGCAAGCAAGGATTGTGTGGAGGTGACAGTTAAGTGATAAGTGGTAATTGCTCTGTTTGTGTGTGTGTGTGTGTGTGTACACAACCTTAGAGTATGGTCACATGGGCCCATCTGCCCTGATGTCCCAGGTCATGGCTGTCACGTACCATGGCTGCATGGGGCACACCCACTGTCCTGCTTCCCAAAGCTGCAGCAGCAGAATCATCTCGAGGAAGCCCGTCCCCCGGAAGCACAGTTGGTCAGTGTTGGGGGAGGGATCATCCAAGTATGGCTGGGAGGCCTTCTCCCAGTTAGAAAGAAAATTAATGATCACGAGGGGGAAAAATTACTTTCAGGAAAAGAGGGGAAAAAAAATAGGACTTCAACTACTACCACCCCAAATTGTCAGATCAAAAGAGAACAAGATCCTGTGGAGGTAGGGCTCAGATAGGGAAGGGCAAGTAATTGGCCTGTTTAACTGCGAGGCTTTGCTTAATTAACCTGAAGAACCCCAAGGACCCGGGGATCCCCCAATGCTCCTGACAGGTGAGGGCTGAATGAGGTGGCACTTGTGTAAAGTGCTTAGAACGGGGCGAGCACACAGCTCATGCCTGCTGCTAATTTCAATTCTATTTTTACAAATGAAAATAAGATTTTTTTTTTTCTTTGAGATACGCGGGCCTCTCACCGCCATGGCCTCTCCCGCTGCGGAGCACAGGCTCCGGACGTGCAGTCTCAGTGGCCATGGCTCACGGGCCCAGCCGCGCCGCGGCACGTGGGATCCTCCCGGACCGGGGCACGAACCCGCGTCCCCTGCATCGGCAGGCGGATTCTCAACCACTGTGCCACCAGGGAAGCCCCCCAAAATAAGATTTTAAAAAAGAACTTCAATATCCCAAGTTGAGTCACTACACAAAAGAATATCTCAATTTATCAAGTTTGAGTGGATTCCCTTAAAATTAGAGTTTAGGTTCATTTCCTAAAGCCTCCCCTGCCCCTCTTTTTTTTTTTTTTTTTACATTCCCAACTGGAACACAGCATGAACTGTAGGATTCAGTACCTTTTATGTCTCAGATCACACAATTTTAGTATGAAAGTGTGCAAAGTGTTCTCATAAAATACATGAAGATAAAAATCTTTAAATATCTCGTTTTGAAAGAAGAAAATAGAGACGGTGAGGAATAAAGCAGGATACAACCTCACAGCAATGAACATGTGCAAGTTCAGAGGTGACATCACATAGAACAACGCATTTTAAAGACACTATTCTTGAAGGACACAGGGTTTTGTTGTTTTGTTTTGTTTTTAATATGAAGAGCGACAGAGAGCTGTGTCAATAAAACTAAAACCTAAAAGGCTTAGAAAGCTTCGGCTGAATTAGAAATGATCCAGGCACTGAGAGTTGAAGGTCTGAGTTATGATCATCTACTTTGTGGCTGGGAGTGGCTTTCTCACAACATTTGTTTTTAATGTGGGCAAGACAGAGAAAAACTGAGGCAGAAACACAAGGTCATTTCCACTCCGTGAGAACATGTATGACCTAGATATCACAAACAGATCACTCTTCACGCATTCAAGAGTCAGCTGGGAAATCCACGTGAATGGTTTTCCAGGTCTCTCAATGGGAGGGAATTTCTACGAAAGCAGAAACACTGCAAATAAACTGTGAATACGTACACTCTGGGAAACAGCAGATGAAGCTGAGGGTGGATACATAGAGAAGAAAAGGATGCCGACCACGAGATATGTGTCCAAGTGAAGGAAACACGGAAACTACTTTATAACTACCGAAAATACCCTGAAGTTATACACGGCTCATTTCTCCGACACACAAAGCAACAACTAAAACGAAGTGGTGAAAAATATAAAACTTAAAACACCCCACACTGAGTTTGCAGTATACTCAAAACAAGGTAGCACAGCCAGACTGTATAAACCGCTTGTTAAAAAAATATCCTTTTATATCGTATGAACAAGTTGCAAGAGTTCCCTCGCAAGAGCTCACCGACCGCTCACCGCCGTGTGTGCGGGTCACATGCAAGCTCAGCTCAGCTCTTCAGCTTCTCTCCCACCACTCACGCATCTGCTTTACAGCTCCAGTCATGCTTTAGGTTAGAACAACCGTTTCTTGAGTAAATACTATCTGGTGCCTGGAAGGGGCATCAAGACACAACCGGGGTCATATCCCACAACTGTAAAAAGAAGAAGATCTCTGATGAACTACATTCAACTGTGTTGAGCACCCACAGCCCTTGTAACTGAATTCAAGTGTATTTTGTAACTTAACAAGGAACTAAGTACTATACGGACATCATTTATAAATCTATAAAATAGTATTTGTCCATCAAAAAGTTCAACATAACCCTCAAAAACAGGACAATGGCAGCTGGAAATTTTAATCCGGCTGATGGAGAATGAAGGCAGATTAGATTCATTCAAGGGGGAAGGGAAGTAACATATGAGGCAACAAATGGGTACCAAGATGTGCTGTGTCCTTTCTATATCTTATCTCATCTTCCAAACAGTTCTACGAAATGTCTCATTTTCAAAAATAAAGGAACCAAGCCTCCCAGAATTTACTTTAAACGTGCTCGAAGTCACAGAGGTCCGGTGGCTTCCAAAGGGGGTTATTTCAACCACCCCATCCTGCTGCTGCCTCCAAGAAGGGACCAGAATGGGCCCAGGAAGTAGGCTCAGTGAACGAGGCAAACCTGAGCCTCTGGGTGCCTCAGAGAATGACACAGGTGTGGCCCCTTCAGTCCTGTGCCTCTGCTGTGTCACAAAATCCATGTGGCCTAGCGCAGTCCTTAGGCCCTGGAGGACTGCTCCCGGATTAACTGATCTCACTGGGAAAAGATCTTGTTTATTACTTGTTGGCTCATTCAATGCTCAGCTCAAACCCCCTCCTGAAGCCATCTCCAGCAGCACTAACTCCGTCTCCTGAACTCGTCCAGTAATTCTTGTCCATATTACTCTTTTGGCTGCTGAACTTGTGACCTATTATTAACTGTCTTTTTAAGAGTATGTCCCCAGTAGACTAGCTGTTCCTTTCAGGCGAGAGCCATGTCTTATTTTGGTGTGTACAGCCAGTGACTGTTCACGGCATGTAGCAGGTTCTCAAAAATGCTCATTGCCAAGGGTAAGCTTTGGAGCAGACCTCATGTGGTCTTGGGGCTCCTGTATATTTACACAGGGCCAAAGATGGAAAGCTTCTAAGATAAGACAGCATCCTACCTTAATAACCTTGTCAGTTCCCGAAGTCAGTAACCATCCTCTGGTGGCATCAAAATGCACATGCACGATGTTATGTTTACTGTCATGGAAGGTCGCCGTGGGTGCACGTCTGGAGGGAGCAAAGAAAGTTTCCAAGAGTAAAAGGCAGTAATATATAAAGGAAGAAGATCTCGAGTGACATTAAGCTCTAACTTTTAGCCAAATGGCTAAAGTGACTTCACTATTAGAAATGCTCCTGGGACTTCCCTGGTGGCGCAATGGTTAAGAATCCGCCTGGCAATGCAGGGGTCACAGGTTCGAGCCCTGATCCGGGAAGATCCCACATGCTGCAGAGCAACTAAGCCTGTGTGCCACAACTACTGAGCCTGTGCTCTAGAGCCCGTGAGCCACAACTACTGAGCCCGTGAGCCACAACTACTGAGCCCGTGCACCACAACTACTGAAGCCTGTGCACCTAAAGCCTGTGCTCCACAACAAGATAAGCCACAGCAATAAGAAGCCTGCTCACGGCAACTAGAGAAAGCCCACATGCAGCAATGAAGACTCAATGCAGCCAAAAATTAATAAATTAAAAAAAAAAGGGGGCTTCCCTGGTGGCGCAGTGGTTGAGAGTCCGCCTGCTGATGCAGGGGACACGGGTTTGTGCCCCGGTCCGGGAAGATCCCACATGCCGCGGAGTGGCTGGGCCCGTGAGCCATGGCCGCTGAGCCTGCGCGTCTGGGGCCTGTGCTCTGCGACAGGAGAGGCCACAACAGTGAGAGGCCCGCGTACCCCCCCCCCAAAAAAAAAAGAAAAAAAAAAGAAAAAAGGAATGCTCCTCAGAGCTACTTTTATTCCCTGGTGACGTGTTATGATTTTTTAAAGAAAGGGTAAAAGGATTCTTATATTCTCCAAAATGGTCAAAAGATGTTAAAGTTTCTAAACGTCCTTTTGGAGATTTTGTTGCTCTGACTGAGTCTGTGAGGCTCTCTACCTGTGCTGTAAACAAATCTTTAAAATGACCCACAGTGCTTTTGCTAAGTTTGATCTCAGAAGGACTTGCTGGTAAAATAGTCTACCTTTGTCTATTGCATTAAAAAAAAAAAAAACAACACACACTTGTTAAAACGCCCAAGACTGTCATTCTCATCTAAGGGCTCTTCATTCTTTCTCCTCTTTTCCCTGGTATAACTGCAGACCTGGTTTTTCTGTGGCATTCTGATGCTTTGACAAGTAAAACAATATATAAACAAACACTGTTATTTGCTTTTTAGTTTTTTAATCTGTGTATTTTTTTAGTAAGAATGCTGGTCAACTGCCTAGGTATTCTAGAGGCAATGCAAATGCTCCCACGGAGAAGAAAGCAGAAGAAACAGTGATGTGGGAAAGGGGACAGGGCCGTGGAAGGAGACTGCAGTTTTCTAATCATGTTTCACGTCGCCGCTCCTCGGCAATGGGATCCCTGAAGATGGCTGTTAATTGCTCAATCTGGAGAACAGATCTTCAGTATCCTAAAACTGATCACTTTAAAATATTTAGAATTAAAGAATTAGGTTTAACTTGTAGTCACTTAGACTCTCTGGGTCTGTGTCTTTAACGAAGAATTAAACTAGAATATCCCATCTCTTGCAGCTCTCTAATTTAATGAGAACTCATTAATTTCATCACATATGATGAGCAGAACATAACCAATGAACATAAATGCTTACTTATGCAAGGGCATCTTACTTAACATTTGCTATGACTAAATAAGAATGAAAAAAACACATACATTAACATTAGGGTTATCTGTAAGAGAACGCTTTGTTTTATTAATTTGCCAAGAATTTCCTTTAAATGCTGACCTCCTCTGATGCTCTTTTTTTTTTTTTTTTTTTTTTTCGGTA